GTGCATAATGCTCCAATCAGGAATACAGATGGTAGCTGAGCTAGAAATGATATACAAAAATTTGATAGATTCGTAGAACACTTAGAAAACACCTTCAAACCAAATGAAGGAGAAGAATTACCGAACTGGGCTCCTCTAGAGAGAGATGACTCAATTATCAGACCAACCTCTCCAAAGGAAATTGCAGAAGATATAAAAACAAATATTAATCCTAAGAAAACTCCTGGCTATGATTTAATTACAGGAGAAATATTAAAACAACTTCCGAAGAAAGCCATAATTAAACTTACACATCTGTTTAATGCCTCATTCAAACTAAGTCATTATGATCCTCAAACCAGGAAACCTTCGAACGAAGTTTCGTCATATAGGCCAATATCTCTATTGCCTATAATATCGAAAATAAAAAGACTGACACCCATCATTGAAGAAAGGAAACTTATTCCAGATTACCAGTTCGGCTTTAGAGAAACCATTCAAAAGCATTAGAAAACAAAGAAGTCTGTTGAGCCATCTTCCTCGATGTTGCGCAGGCTTTTGATAAAGTATGGCATGATGGCTTAAAACATAAACTGAATGTGCTACTTCCATAGCTATTGGATTCATACATTTCAGATAGATTCTTTAGAGTAAAACAAGATGAAGCATACTCTGAATTGAAAGAAATTAAAGCAGGAGTACCACAGGGAAGCGTCCTGGGACCCACTTTGTATCTGTTATACACTTATGACATACCCCAACTAGAACAAGACACAATAGCTACATTTGCAGATGATACTGCCATCCTAGCGATAGGCAAAGATCATGAAGAGGCTGCAAATAAACTACAAAAATCAGTTAATCAAATAAATAAATAAATGGACCAAAAGATGGCGTATTAAAGTAAACGAATATTAATTTTACTAACAAAAATGGTCAAAGAATACAAATTAACATAAATAATGCTCAGGTCCCTTATGCTAACTCGGCAAAATATCTAGGTATTACATTAGATGCAAGACTTCGCTGGAAGGTTAGGTTAGGTTAGGTTAGGTTAGGTTAGGTTAGGTTAGGTTAGGTTAGGTTAGGTTAGGTTAGGTTAGGTTAGGTTAGGTTAGGTTAGGTTAGGTTAGGTTAGGTTAGGTTAGGTTAGGTTAGGTTAGGTTAGGTTAGGTTAGGTTAGGTTAGGTTAGGTTAGGTTAGGTTAGGTTAGGTTAGGTTAGGTTAGGTTAGGTTAGGTTAGGTTAGGTTAGGTTAGGTTAGGTTAGGTTAGGTTAGGTTAGGTTAGGTTAGGTTAGGTTAGGTTAGGTTAGCTTAGGTTAGGTTAGGTTAGGATAGGTTAGGTTAGGTTAGGTTAGGTTAGGTTAGGTTAGGTTAGGATAGGATAGGTTAGGTTAGGTTAGGTTAGGTTGGGTTAGGTTAGGTTAGGTTAGGTTAGGTTAGGTTAGATTAGGTTAGTTTAGGTTAGGTTAGGTCGATAAAATTCAAGAAAATGTACTGGTTACCTGGTAGGCATTCCAGCCTATCTACTCATAACAAAATTCTATTACATAAACAAGTTCTCAAACCAATAAACTAATAATCCAGAGATTCCAGAACAAAGTATTGAGGAACATTGCCGATGCTCCTTGGTACATTTGAAACAGCGACCTTCATCGAGACCTTCAGATGGACACTGTTGACGGGACTATCACGAGATTCGCTAGGAGTCACGAACAACGGCTCCACCAACATGTGAACGTTGAGGCGATCCAGCTTCTTGACAACACGAACCTGACAAGAAGACTCAATAGGGTGAAACCTTTTGAGTTAGCCAAGTGATTGTGTTAATAACAAAGCAAAGCATTGTGCGGTTTAGTGGTACATCTTAGTTTAGTGTAATTAAGTTATCAGACCCTAAGGTATACTAGCGAGTAGAACTTTAGTTTTTAAGATTGCAGCCCTAGTTAAGTTAGGTTATAACAAAATTACTCATTGATCAACTCTTGGTCAGATTGTAATATCAATAAACGCCACTTTTGTAGTGTTTTTTTTTACAAAAAAAATTATTTAATTTGATCCCCATGAAGACATTCGCGACGTGTTATTCCAAGACATAACAAAAAATTCAACGGGCCGGTTTAAATAATTGAAATGTTTTCTTAGCTTTTGTATAATAATAAAAAATAACCGGTGTAAAGTTAGCAGTAACTTTTAGCAGTAAAAATAACCGAAAACACCCAATCGGGAAAACAGTCGCGTCCGGCATACAATTATTTTAATAGTCTTGTCAATATGTATTATACACAAAAATATCGACAAATAATTAATATACGGTTGAAAATAACCATTAAAATTAATATAGTTACTGTTGACAAATCATCCGAGGCAAAATGAATAAATTTGTTAACGAAATCTTTTTCTACGCACTCTCTCAAGAACAAAATTCAAATCAAAGAACTTGGAAGATCTCTTCGCGATTTAGAAATCACAAAAATGGAGAAGTCTTCCACCTCTAGTTCGTCAAGTTTCAAGAATAAGGAAGTTTAATCGGAATCTGTATTTAAAAATTAACTGGATTTTTTTTTTCGGGTATTTCTACTTGGGCGACGCATGGTATCACTGATTTAGTACTCATATTTATGAGAAAAGTAAAACATGAAAACATATAAACATAAATAATATTTTTAGTTTTTCTTTGCTTGGAAAATTAAATATAATGACTCAACTAAGTTCGTCTCATAAACATTAGGCACAACCAAAAAGTTGTTAAAAACAAATATATTTCAAACGTCATTATTAACTGTATCAGATGAAAAAGAAGAATCAAAAGATAAAGGAGTGTTCCGAGAATTGGTAGATAATAATTCTCAATTAGGGGTAAATAATTGTATTCGTCGCCGCCATCGTTTTTGCTTTCTCGAGATTACAATTTATTAAATCTTAGTATTTCTTCGAGCATCTCGGGGGGGGGGCGGGTATTACCCGTTTACCCCCTTGTATCCGCGCGTGTCTGGAATAAGTTGAGAAAGAAAGTGTATTCCTTGGGGAATGCAGTCAAAAAAGTTGGCCAAATAATAGTAAAACTCTTTGATCATATAGTCAAAGCTTTCAAAAATATTTATTCCCATTATCAAAACACTAAAATTATATTAAACAATTAAGTTTTAGTCTTAAAGTTAAAATTTAAAAAAATATATGCAACTTACTAATCATGAGATTAAAAATAGAAGTTACATTTGCACAACATAGTTAAGATTAACTACACTTATTATTATATAAAACATTAATGATCTAATTTAATTTTTATTACTGACATCGAATATTTCATTTAAAAATACTACTATAAATGTGTTTAAACCGAAATACATGATATTTTAGGTGGAAATTATAAATGTATAAAATAAAATGTTTAATTTGAGAATAAAACATATTTTTAAGAAAAATAACCCAGATAGCACAAATACGTCTTATGGACGTTCTAAAAACGTCCTGCTTGGACATTTAGAACATCCTTACATCGTCTTATGGACGTCTTTGGAATGTCCATTGTTAATAATCAGGATGTCTTAAGAATGTCCGAACGTTTCATGGATATTTTCAAAAGCTCAAATGTGGAATAACAGGATGTTTAAGGAAACGAGTGAAAATAATGAATAATTTCAACAATTTTTATTTGGAAGCAAATAACCTATGAATAATAAAATTATTAAAACTTTTTCGTCAAATTCATCCCGTCTCTCCTCTACTTTGCCCTTTTCAACCATGCCTGTATTGACAGCAGTTCAGTTTTTTTTTCTTGATTTGGCCATATTTGCCTTCTCAGCTGAACCTGAAAATAATTTAATCGCTTATTTAAAATGAAAGGCAGATCAATATGAAAATCCAATCTGTTTGTTTTAGTTTGCCGTGCTAGACATTGTGAATTCACTAACCTTTTAGCTTTGTAGTATTCACTGGAAAACTTCCACATTTCTCAGAGATAAAAATAGTACAAACTGAAAAAAATTAATATTAATCAACCACAAACTCACAGAGTCGAATCACAGTTAAATGGCGTAATGATGATAGAACTTGTATTCGTATAATATGTACATACCACCGAATCATGAATATTGAACACCAGGTTTCTTTCTTTTTTTTTTAATAAAACCTGAGCCCTGAGAATATTTTAGTGCTTGAATCTAAATAAATAATAAAAAATAATTAACGTCACTTGTCAACAATGTCCCTTTTTTGCAATGACCTTCGTTTTTTGTCTATTTGGCCTTCATTCAATTGGATATTGGGACAATGTCATCTTTAATAATTATTTATATTATCTCATTATATATGTTGTTTATATAATCAATAATACAATGCGAATGTGAATCCATGGAAATATAATAAAGCACGTAGAATTGACGTTCTACGGATATATATTTCGTGACGTCCCGAGGATTTACTAAACTGGACATACTTAAAACGTCCAGAATTGGTCCTGGACGTACAGACGATAAATGGACATGTAATGGACGTCCTTAGGACGTCCTGTGCTATCTGGGAAACGAAAAAGTATTGTAATTAATATTTTATATTTGTTAAGAAAAAGATACAAAATTAATGATATTAGAGTACAAAAAAGAAAGAAACAATCTTGGTTTTTTTTTGTTGTTATTGTTGTTGTTGTTGTTGTTGTTGTTGTTGCTGTTTCCCAGCGCCACTTTAGGAACAGCACTGTTAATTAGAACCCAACAGTGAATGCTCGAAATTGAATTTTAATTAAATTTTGCATGCCAAAGTTTCTTGTGCCAACTTTTTTATTTAAGCAATTCATAGAAATGGCCTGCATTAACTGATATAATAAAAAAGTATTTTTACGATTTTTAATCCAATGATTTTTTGATATTATAAAATATATCAATCCAAAGAGTTTTTAAACCTTAAGTGTTTCTCACTCATAAAGATACACTCTGTATATATTGTATATACTATTTGAGATTACCAAAATCCCAGCCCATCTCCTAACTACACATAGTAACCAGAAATTATTTATATTCTAGACATCACGAGGTCCCTTTAACCCCACCGAAACTAGCCCAATACTGCCTGGCCCTTTGCGCCATGTGTTCGGACCCAAGACAATTTCACGGACACGATCTCATTGGAAGTCTGCAACACCACGAGCCGATACACGACATCGAGTTTGCATACGCCACCCTTGCGGCGTGTACAGCGAGAGCACATGTCAGAAAGAAGCAAATTCGGAGGTTGTTGGACATCGCAAACACCGCCAAAGACCATAATATAGGTGAGTGTTCGGTTTTTGGATTGAGCAACTATAAGTGACTGCGTATTTTTTTATAATGTAGTGTTCCACAAAAAATGTTTCTAAAGTAGGTAATGAAAAAAAAACTACACAAGTTATAAATTCCAGAACGGAACTTTTATTTTTAAAAAACTTTATTAAGTCAAAATACACTTAAATGGATATCTAAGGTAACTCTGGACTAAAGCCTATACTAAAGCTACCCCAAATAACAACAATAATAAGGTTTTACTCCTATTTATGAAGTAAAAATTATTATTATGCAAAGATAATCTATTTATATTATAAAAGATTCTATTATGTTCACAATATATAAGTCACATGTCGGAACGCATGGACATTACTGTTTTTGTCGGCCATTGCCTTCTTTAGAAGTATTTTTTGTGATTCACTCGTTTTAGTTTTACATTGCTAAAATTAATCCAAGTAATATTAGTAGTTTATGATGTAAACAATAAAAAAAAAATCAAAGACAATGTTATATTTTTTTGTATTTATTTTATTAATTTAAAAAAGCTGAATATAAAAAAAATTACTATGAATCCCAAATTTTGATCAAAGACATATCATATTTCCAGACACTGTAGCAATGACAATTTTGGCTCTAAGATGCATAGTCAAAGATCACAGACATAGAAATTTGCAACACACTTTGCGAAGACCCAGTATAAATCTAGCAAGGCAACAGCAACAAGATGGCGGTTTTGGTAATTTGTATAATACAGCACTCACACTACAAGTAAGTAAAAAATGTATTATATCTATTGTCCAATAATTTAGAAGTACCAATGCTAAACTGGTTGTTCCAAAGCAACTAGAAGAAGGGATTTACTTTGCACTTGCAGAATTAATAACTCTCTTTCTAGGCTTTACAAGACATGAACGAAATTAATCACCACTGGAACCGAACCGCTGCTAAAGCATACATAGAGTCAAAACAAGACCCGGATGGCGCTTTTACTGACCCTAACTTAACTGCCGAAGTGGTCCTCGCTTTATCCGAAAGAGGACTTGGACATATCAGAAACACTGATTGTGGAAAATACGATAGTGATTTGGACAATCATGGTAAGCAATTTAATATGTTTTAAAAAATGATTTTTAATTGATTTAGGGTGATTAATGGGACTGTATTATCTTAGATATGTGGTGTTTTTGTAGTATTCTTGAAAAGAGGAAAAATTTGCTTTTGTTCTGGAACACTACTTGACCTACAGTGTCACTGAAAAAAAATTCAAGATGGAGGCGGTACGCTAAACGCTGACGTCACAAAAATTTGACATATCTTACCAAAAATGCAAAATACAATCCCATTCATCACCCTACAATTTCAGAAATATACATTTATTCGTTTCGAAGAAAATACCTTGTCAGAATTTTTCGCTGTCCTATGTATAAACTTCTACAAATACTCTGTATACTCTCAGTGACAACAGCCACCCCGTAAAAAGTTTATCTTTTCTCAAGATAGTATATCTGTATCTGTAACGTGTGGAACCCACGGCAATTACACCTTACATTGTGCATCCTCCTAAGTAGATAAGCACCTCGTGAGCCAGCCTACATTTATGTAGTTGACAACGTCAAGAGGTGCTTCTCTTATATCGGCCGGTGTTAGCCAGTTCTCGCCAAACACAAATCTTCTAATAAATGAGAGCGTCAGTAATTGTAGAGGATATGCTCAAAGGTCTCATCTTCTTGTTCGCATCCCCTGCAGAGTGCGAATTCTGCCAGTCCTATGATATGGAGAAGCTTCCGTACTTGGCAATGACCAGTCAGAATGTCTGTGATCAGGCGCAGATTCTGTCTAGTCATAGTCAAGTATTTGTTTACTGTAGTGTTGTTAGGATAACTTAAAAGTTCCCTGGCAAATCTGCAGCTTCTCATCCCATATTTCCTTGAATTTCACAAGGGAGTGTTCTTTAATTAGATTTGTCACTACCGATGTTGTTAGTCTAATAGAAGGGCCAGGTCCAAAAAGTATTTGATTGGAGTCTTCTTAGCTAATGAATCAACAAGACGGTTACCTTTCGATGTGGCGTGACCTTTGATCCATCTTAAGTTGACTACATTGTTGATGGATACTTTGGCCAAAGATTTTGTGACATTCTAGTACTAACCTTGAGTAAATTCGTGGTATGTCCAGGGTGAGGAGTGCTTGTCTGCTATCTGTATAGGTGAGCATGTTCATCCAGTGATAATATTTCTGGTGATTTCTTTTACTGCTATAAGAATTGCCTTGAGCTACACTGGAACTACTGCTCACAGCCAATTTTTTGTTTAGGTTTAAGGATCTGGAGTATATTCCACATCCTAAGGTTTGTTTTGTTTAAGAACCATCCGTGTGTGTGTATATATAAATCGTATCTGCCACTTACGGCTCTTCTATTTGTTCTGTTATAACTTTACTTTGCTTATGGAAGATATATCTCGGTGAGATAGAGTCCATGTTCGCTTGAAGCAGTAAGAGCGTATCGAGCAGGTGATAGCACCCCTCCCTGTGGACATCCTCTTGCAACCAAGCCTCCTATATTCACATATTTTAGACTTATGTTTACTGCTCACTTTGAAAGCATATTACGTATCCACCCACTAACCATCTGTGGAATATTCCTGTTGTTAAGTGAGTGTATTATCTTGAGAAGGGTCGTCGTATCAAAAGCACCTTCTATGTCTATGAAAACACCCAAGGCGGACTTTGTATTGTCCATGGATCTCTCTACCCGGCCAGCATCTAGGTGAAGAGCTGAATCAGTAGATCTACATGCGGTGTATGCATGTTGATTTGGGAATAGTGGTGTTGTTGTAATCACAACATCCCTTATGTACCTTTCGCATAGCCTTTCCAATGTCTTCATAGAAAAAGATGTCAGACTAATTGGTCGGAATATTTTTGGGACAGTGTAATACATCCTTCGAGGTTTGGGATATACCTCAAAGCCAACGAATATACTTACCAGGTGGGGCGTGAGTTTTTCCAGACTACACTAGGGCTGGATAGATACCGTCAGGTTCTGACGATTTAAATGGAGAGAAGCTAGATATTTCCCATCTAATGTTGTCTCAAAAGAATGAAAAGTTATTCCAGAAATTCGGACTGGGTAGGAAAGGCTAACAGGACTAGCTCTTACTCGTATGTCCAGTCCAATGCCCAATGGCTGGTTTTAGATAAATGTTCACATAGTGAAAGACAATGTGAATTAATACTTTAATTTTTTTAAATTTACTTATTTGATATTTCTTCTATTTTTTATTTTATGTCTGTTTTTCACATGTCGTTTTACGTTTTTTTGTTGTTTATTTAGTTAAATATGTTGTAACTTTTTTATTTTATGTTGTTCCGTTTTTTTATTTTTTGATCTGAATTTTAGTTTTTTTTGTAATATAAAATATAAGCTATTAATTTTTATTTAACGGCCCTGAATATAATATATGCTTCTAATTTTGAATTAATTATTAAATATAAACAAACTGGATCGTGTATTAAATTAAAGGTTAAAAAGTAATAAATATCCGTTAGTTACACAAAAGAATGGTCTAGCCATATTTACTCAAATATTTGTTAATATAACGAAGTGAATGGTTCCATCATTTTCATACAAAGTTGTCTGCTGCTTTATGATGCCCCATTAGAGCCAAACCCTTCGTAAAATTATTAGCTATCTAAATTCCAAAACAAAGGGTTGGTTGAGTAGACAAAGTCTATCCCCTTCACATAATTTCAGGTCCGAAGGGACTGTAACGTTTCTCGATTTACTTACAGATTAAAACATTTTTGGTATATACATCCACTTATAAAAAATGTTGCTGATCAAATTCCTTTAATCAAATAAAACACAGTGTTTTATTTGAAATTTTCTAGAAAAACACTTAAAATTATGAATATTCAACAATTTTGTATGATCACCCTGTATACATAAGATGGTTACGTTTTGCCTTGATACATTTAACAAACATTACAAGAGAATGGCTAAATTTTAATTCATACTTACTTCATTTCTTATTAGAATACGGTGACAAACAGAATTCACAAATTTTGCTGAATTAATATTTGTGCTGCCGAACGGTGCTTTCAATTAAATCCAAAATTAATAAATGGTCGCCTAATATTTTTTTAAATGTCAAAATATATTTTCACTATTTTAAAAAAATGTTTGTAATCAATCAGAATTTTTTGGAAGGTCTGTATAGTTAGTTATTTTTTTTTACATAACAGCTCTGCATCTTTATTATTTAGCTCTGTACACAATAAATGATACGCCCTATTGTAGGATCACGTATACAAGGTGATCCATTAGTGTGAAAAAGTCTGATATTTCCGCCATTATTAGAGATATAAACAAAATATTTTCAGAACGGTAGACAGCGTTAAACTACATATTTTAAAATTATTTTTGAATATACAGGATGTTTAATAACTTCCCTCTGGAACCAACTTATGTTTTTTTAATGGATCACCCTGTATTTTATTTTATATTTGAATTGCGATCGCTTTTCCCATTCTAAAAACATAAATTTTTATTGGTTTATACAGGGTATTTTGCAGGATATAATCAGTTTTGTATGAAAATCGTATTGAATTCAATGACCTATATCATGCAAAAGAAACCATTGATAACCAATTTTTTTTCTACCACAATTTTTCAATCATGGTCAAATTTTATCCGGAGACACTACTTTTTTCAATTCACATCAAATCTGTACAGGGTGAGTCAAAACACAAATACATAATTTTCTCAATTTTTTTAAATGGTTCACCCTGTATTTTATATCATCGTTCAAAAGTATCCTAATTATACTTTAATTTGACTTAAGCATTCCCTATACCAAAAGTTAATAGTTTTTAGAGATTTTTAAATGTTAGTGGTAAAAACGATAATTCAGAAAATAATTGATAGAAAATACATTATGTTTGATAATTAGTAATGATTATAATTTAACCAGCTGTAATTTATTATCGATTTTACATTAAGAAAGAAAAAATATCAATAGCTAGCACAAATTCATACTTTATTATTTAAATGTAATTTTTGCAAATTATATTTAAGTAGAACAGTTGTTCAAAGTGGCCTCCTATAATATTTATGCAGGCCTGAAGACGGTTTTCCAAGTTCTGACTCACATTTCTAAGCATTTCCACAGTAACACTTTGAAATGCCTCTCTTACTCCAACGGATTGGCCCGCCTCTTTCTATCCATGTTCCTGGAAATTGATCTGCAAGTTCGCCATTTACAAGAGCGTTATTATGAGCAGGAGCACCATCATGTAAATAACACATTTTTCGGCGTACTGCAAGAGGAAGATCTTCAAGCAATATTGGTAAAAACTTCACTAGAAAGTCTAAGTACAATTCCCCATTTACAGGTTCGTTAAAAAAAATGAGGTCCTATCACGTACTCACCGATAATGCCACCCCAAACATTTAAAGACCACCTTTCCTGACTGTGAGTAATTATATGGTATGGATTAGAAGTGGAATAATAATTAAAGTTGTGCCTATTGACACAGTTATTTCGATGAAAAGTTGCCTCATCTCCAAAAAGCACGTACTCAAAAAAATCTCTTCATTCAGTAATTTTTTGTTGTGACCATTCACAAAAAGTTACCCTGTGTTCAAGATCCATAATAGTGAGTTCTTGATGTAGTTGCATATGATACGGATGCATTTTATTTTTGGAAAGTATTCTTTGTACTGACGTATAACTTATTTCCTGTTCTCTTGAAATATGTCTTATACTTGTATGCGAATTTTCGGTAACTGTTAACAAAACATTTAGTTCATCTTCCTCTTTAGTAACAGTTTTTGTTCTATCAATTTTCTCATATGAAACTGACCCTGTTCGGTTAAATCGATCCATCAGTTTTTCGAACGATGTTTTATTTGGCGTTCTACGCTCTGGAAATCGTTCTTTATAAACTCTAGTTGCTAACAAAGAGTATTTATTGCATTCTCCCAAAATCTATACCATATCAACTAATTCTTCACGACTATAATTCATGTTAAAAAATTGGCGAGACTATGTAGAAAACAAATAATGCAACACTAATGGCATTAATAACAAACTGTCAGTATTTTTCAAAGCCAACTTAAAAAAAAATTAAACAAAAAATTTAGTAGGTTTCCTTTGTAGTTTGTGGTTGATGTTTATTTCTTTTTCTAATAAATGTGTAAGTGACATTACATATTGTCAGAAACTAATAAATAATTACTTCAGGTTAAATTCAATTAATTACTAATGATAAATAAAATGTATTTCCAATCAATTATTTTCTGAATTAGGTATCGTTTTTACCACTAAAATTTAAAAATCTCTAAAAACTATTAACTTTTGGTATAGGGAATGCTTAATTCAAATTAAAGTATAATTAGGATACTTTTGAACGATGATATAAAATACAGGGTGAACCATTTAAACAAATTGAGAAAATTATGTATTTGTGTTTTGACTCAGCCTGTACAGATTTAAAAAGTAGTGTCTCCGGATAAAATTTGACCATGATTGAAATATTATGGTAGAAAAAAAAATATTGATCATTAATGGTTTTTTTGCATGATATAGGTCATTGAATTCAATACGATGTTCATACAAAACTGATTATATCCTGCAAAATACCCTGTATAAACCAATAATAATTTATATTTGTAGAATGGTAAAAGCGAGGGCAATTCAAATATAAAATAAAATACAGGGTGATCTATTAAAAAGAACATAAGTTGGTTTCAGAGGGAAGTTATTAAACACCCTGTATATTCAAAAATAATTTTAGAATATGTAGTTTAGCGCTGTCTACCGTTCTGTGAAAATATTTTTTTATATCTTTAATAATAGCGGAGATATTGGACTTTTTTACACTAATGGATCACCCTGTATAGCTATGGGAGTAGTTGTTTCGTGTTGTATACGATCGAATAAAATTGGATATTCTTAAGCTGTTTGGGTAATCTGGAGGTTTAAAAATGATATGTATTCTTTATTTTCAGTTGAAATCGACGGCCTAACCAAATCATTATCAAATCACGGCAACGATTCCGAAATACGAAACGTAACAGTTTCGTATACCCTATGGGTCGGTTCCAACGTAACCGAAAACGCCACAATAAGCGTAACTGCGCCCAGAAATACGTCTTTCTACAATATCATGCAGTTAGCATCAGAATTGGATCCACATTTCGCTTTCGAGGCGTCCGAATGGCCGAACGGTCACTACGTTCACACTTTGGCTGGCTACAAGGAGGAACCAATGGGTTACCATTATTGGTTGTTGTATAGATTACCAGAGCTTCCTGATCCATTGACTCCGCCTGCCAATCAGCTAGTAGCTCCTGTGGGTAAGTGTTCGAAAGGTACCAGTAATTATTGGGTGTTTTTATCTGGATAATCATGGACCATAATTATAGAAATACAAAATACTCCGCAAAATATCATCCCACGTAGACAAATGAAAATCCCGGACTGTTTTAAAATAGTAGTTTTGTGCAACAATATGATGGTCATATTGCACGAAAACAAGGTTTGAGCACGACGCCACCCGTAGGCATTGGCGGCGGAATAACTTTTCTTGGGAGCCCCTTTTAAAAATGTTCTCTTCCATGAAATAAAAATAATATAAAGGGTGTTTATCTATGCATAATATTTTTAAATTAAAACAAATAATTATGCATATGTGAAAAAACTTAAATGCGTATATACAGGTATACATGTAAATATATAATATGTAAGTATGTACCAGGTTGATATAAAAAAACATTCAAAATTAAATTAAGAAGTTTTCTATTTTTCTTTGCAAGACTCCTTGAGGGTCAATCTGTTTAGCCAACTCATTTTCGATGTGAAGTATGGAAAGCTGAAGTAGCCACGTTTTAATTCTTCTCATTGCCGAAAAACTGTGCCCGCACCCGGCGGAATTAACAGGAATATAGCTATATCCTTTTAATTACAGCAAAAGACCAGCAATATTCCAGCAATTCATTATTTGTTGGGCTGTTTCAAATTCATCAACCTAACCGTATTTCCACCTCATTCCCACTTACGCTCGTCTCAAATAAATTTGACTTAGATGGTCCACGTTTAAATTTCCGTACCTGTGTATCCTTTTTCATAGTTTACCAGCTGACGAATTCCAGCAGATTTGCAGCTTACTGTAATATACGAAGTAGGAGGTAATTCACAAAATTAAAATAGAAACGAAAATAAAATAATGATAAAAACGCATTAAGAGGTAAGATAAGAATTGAAAACATGATTACAAGAAGATGTTTTAAGGGACTTCTACTGACGGCCCATATTTTTGCCTGATTGGTTGTCTTGGGAAGCGAATGTGGATGTGAGGGGATTTTCGACATCCAATTGGATCTGTCAGCTTGAGCTTGTGTATATAAAGCTGCAACTAGACTATTTTTTCAATTGTATTCCTTTCTGTCAGTTTAGCTTCGAACTTTTATTTTCACCTGGTTTGAAGTCCGCTAAATTCCTGTGGCTAGTGGATTGAGCATAAATAGGTGTCATTATTAAAATCTGGGAAACTTTGAAACAATTTACAAAAACGCTAAAGTTTGTTGTTTATTAACTATATTATTTATTTTGCAGGTGTGGATGACCTACTAATAGAAGAAGGAGACCATTACCTTTTCTGGTACAAGAAACTGTAAAAAAACTAACAAAATACATTTTGGTTTATGTTAGAAAAAAGTTCTTTTTTATATATGTTAAGTGTGTGCTCTGATCATATCCTCTCTTTTTTAAGCTTCGTGATCGTGCGAAATTGTTCGAAAATATTTAAACTAAAGCTTTTCTGGCTTGAAGCTTAAACTGTGTACAAAGACAAACTGATAGTAAAGATTAGGGGTAATGGTAAGATAGGATAACAGACAAATTTCCTTTGAAATTTTATCTTAATGTTCGATGATCTTCAAACCTAGTTTGCAGTATCTCAAATCACTCTTTAGTTTGTTAACGTTAGATTGTAAAATCATGTTAGAAATAACAACCACTATCAGCACGTTTGGAGTAGAGCTCGTCTCTCTGACTGTCCTATCTTAATATTAATAATCTTTGCTGATATTAAAGGCTGTTTTAGTAAAGTTCCAACCACAAACGTACACTCTTTTTTGTGATAATCACTAACCAAATGTGAACTTTGCTGCAGTATTTATATTTGAAAAATGGTCTTAGCTGTTACTATATACTTATGTACTGATTCTGACAAAAATTGTTAAACATACAGTACGACAAGATTGAGATGGCAAATATGAATTCGATGTCCACTGGCAAATCTAAAAATGGGAGGAGTTATATCAGTTAATGGCTGAACTTTGATGCTATTGTTTCAGTGATCTATTTTTGTTCACTTGTGCAGTGTTACCAAATTTATCTATTTTAAATTTTTGCCTGTGTGCATCTAGTTCTGACGATTCCAATCTTGTCGTACTGTACATATTTAAAATATACAAAAACCAAATTTGGATAGCATACTTTTACAAAAACATACATAACAGTGTGTCTTAAAAATTATCCACCCTATTACGTAATTTCATATTAAACCGTTAATATATTATTAGCATACTACGAGGTAAGTCTTAAGCCGTAACATACTTCTTAAACATGTTACAAACTTGCACGCTTGTGATAAAATTTGTTTTTCAAAAGATTTTATTAAAATTGTAACAAAAATTCAAGGCAGATAATATATGAGACACACTGTATCTAAACACAATGAATTAAGGTGTTTCTATTTTTCTTTCAGAATATTTTGCCAATTTCTTGAAGTTTATACAGGATGTCCCAGAAATAAATTCATCAAATTTTAACTACTGTAACAGAGATCATAAAGAGAAATAAGTTTTTTAAATTATTATACAAGGTCTTTCAAAGTAATGTACCGGATACTGGAGGACTTGTAGATCTTAACTAATTATTAATAAAAACTAAATATAATTTACCTGTAAACGTCCCAGTTGTCATTATACAGAGTGATAAAGTGAATTTCATAAATACATAATTTTCTAAATATCTTCCCTTGCGGTAAAGACTTTAACTATATACTTAATTTATTATCAATATTAATGAATACACTTTATTTCGATAAATTACGATAATCCATTGGCGTAGAATCAAGGGCTAAGAAAACAATTTTGTTCCAAACTTTTTGAACACTCTATATTTCATGAAAATTAAGATAAATAATAATTTCTGGGTCATCCTTTATGTAGTAACAATAGTAAGAGGTGGAAAAAAATGGAGAAATCGCATAATTCTAATTTTTCAAAAAAATAAGAGAATTTACTAAAAAGTTGAACAAATATCATTTCAATTTAGGGAAATCAATTTTTTAATGGACCTATGAATTCTGGCATGTTTTTGAAAACAAAATTGAATTAATGGTGTAAAAACAAACGATAGACCGTACGTTTTTTAAATTTTCCTGAAACATCAAAATACTGGTCTCTTGCAACAATAACTTCTCCATGCCACTTAAATTTCGTTTCGTCAAGACAAAGCTTGAGTTTGGGGAATATGTAAAAGTCATTGGGTACTAGTAAGGTAAGTATGGAGGATGGAGGACAACCAGGAACAGCAATTTATCCCATTTCTGTCGAACAATTTGACTGGTGTATAAAGGCGCAGTATCATGATGGGACACCAACATTTTTCCATCTGTTTTAGGTCTTCTTTATTGCTACTTTTAATTTATTTAGAAGAGGAGTATAATGTAATCTTAAAAAAAAGTATATCAAACTCCTTTTACGCAAATAACATCAAGCACTTCACAATTAGTGGTTTTTCTGCAAGTAAAAAATAGAATTATCCTTAAAGAAAAAATTACACATTTGAAAAGAAGGAAGGAATTACTATTGGAATCTTTTCGCATTTTATTACAATAAAAAATCGTCATTTATCCATTTAATAACTGTATGATTCCTTTATAAACTCTGCACATGACTCTACCTCAAAAAAACTACAGCAATAATAGTAAATTATTTAGTATCAAAAAGAGTTTCACATAAATCTATCATAACAGCAAAAAAAATTGAGTGAATGAACTTGTCGATGATAAATAGCAAGTTTCTTCTGAATAATTAGCATATTTATTTGTTTTTTTTTTTTGTAGATTTCGAAGATCCTTGTTATTTTTTCATTTGATCCCAGCCTAAGTAAAATATAAATAAGTTTTCTTTTTCAGTTTTATTTCCATTTTTTTTTTTGGTGTCTCTGCCAAATATAGCATAAGCTGTGGTATAAATATTTATATAAAAGTGTATGATAAAAACTTCTAATATCTGTTTTTTTTTACTTTGTGTACTGTAAAAAACTTTCTTGTTTTACTGTTTTTATAAAATGTAGGACCTTTTGTTAATATTCATAATGCAGTTTTGTAGGTTAAATTTTCTACGACAGTCAGTTTATGAATTACAAAAGTAACCTTAGAAATATGAAACAATAAAAAAATTAGAATTGTTTAATAATAAAATAGTCGATTTAAGTACAAATTATTTACCTTTTCTCACAATTAAATAATTTTCTACAGTTTTTGATGATCGATAATCTACATCATATACTTGACTACTTAATAGCTGATAATCATATTGTATACATTTGAATAGTTATACAACAAATAAACAGGTTTACAAGAAAAAAAAGTCCGGACTATTTGACCAGACCATGGTATTCCTAGGTATTTTGGCGTCCTGGGTCCCATCCCGGGATCAGCTTTTCCCCTATCACGTCAGAAAAACCAAATTTCAAGGTCATTTAGAGGTCAAAATGGTGATTTTATGGAACTGGCTCTGGGACAATTTCTCAAGCGATCTGTTAAGTTGAGGGGTAACTTTGTAGGTCTTGAATACCTTCCAAACATTGGAAACGGTCCCCAAATCTCGACCAGGACCAGCGCAAGGCCAGCCATGTGGATAAAATGTTGTCACGATCGTTGTATCTCGCGAATTTCAATCTCCCTGCCAAGGTATTCAATTTCGGCGATCCATTTGCTGTGAGATAATGCCAGTGGATCCAGCACTGACCCAAATGGCCCTAGAATCTTACCAGAACATTGGAGTTATGCTCAAGTGGTTCGAGGTATTCGAGCTCGTGAATTTTGCTTCCCTTGGCAACACGTAGAATTTTTACGATTAAACTATCGTCAGTTAATGCCAGCACTTCTCAAAGTGCTCCTAGAACATCGTCCAAAAATTGGGTGAAGCTGAATATACTGTCCGGGGCAAACATAGGTTGCAGAAAATGGCCCAAGGATCCCAACCCACAACTTCAGAGTTTGCCACCTTTGTTCTGCTGAGGCAGGCCATTGAAATTCAATCCCTCTGATAAGACGTTACATTCCACCAAGTGAATTGATGTGGCTATCATACAATATTAGCGACTATGACTTATAGTCTTGTCGCCGGGAATTTTGGGATCGGGATTCCTGACAGTGGCCCATTGAACGTATTTCCGTTATCGAGAATTCTACAGCTTGAGTGAGCTTTGGCGGGAGAAGCAGTTGATCGCTTCGACGTTCGACCAAAGCAAATTTATCGTCAAATTCTCGCTTCTTGGCGGGGAACTTGAAATTCGTAACTTAGTAATTACGGGGCCACTTCCTACCCACTGGGCCGGACCTAGGCAGCACACCTAGCATAAGACAAACATTTTGGCAACTCACAGCAAATGCATCGTCGCAATCGACGCTTGGCAGTGGAATAGAAAGTCGCCAGTTAGTAACCCCCTGAGCCAGTTCTCCACCTTGGGCCAGACCTGAGCGGGACACGAAGCATAACTCCAATGTTCTGGCAAGGTTCCTGGGCCATTTGGGTCAGTGCTAGATCCACTGGAATTATCTCACAGCAAATGGATCGCCGAAATTGAACACGTTGGCAGGGAGATCGAAATTTGTGAGAGACATCCATCATGGTAACATTTTATCCACTGGGCTGTCCCTGCGCTGATCCTGGTCGAAATTCATAGCCCCTGTCCAATGTTTGGAAGGTATTCACGACCTAGACAGTTACCCCTCAACTTAACAGATCGCTTGAGAAATTGTCCCGGGGTCGGTTCCGAAAAAGCACCATTTTAACCTCTAAATGACCTTGAAATCTGGGTTTTCTGACGTGATGGGGCAAAACTGACCCCGGGATCGGATTCGGGACGCAAAAATACCTAGGAATACCTTGGTCCGTTCAAATAGTTCGGACTTTTTTTTGTAAACCTGTGTAATTAATTAACATTTTTTTCCTTAATAAAGTGTCCCCAAGAGCTATTCGATTTTTGTTCAACTCCACCTTTTTTTTCCTGGGCTCGTCTGACTATGTTTCCGAATAACACTGAATCCTATTGGCTTATTGTGTTTAACCCCCACCTTCGTTATAGCTTGATTCTTTTCTACATAAAGCTATCCATTTAATTTAAAGCTATAAAGATCTAGTAAGCAAACTTGTCATGTCATTGCCTTTGTACTGTAACGTAAATTATTGAGCTGTCACATTGTATTAATTCAGAACATAATCTGTTAAATATAACTTTTTGTTATCGAGACTATCGTTAACCATATAAGTTAATGCTGTCAACGTGTTGTTAAATGATAATTTCATTAATCCTTGAGACAAGCGAAATTAATTTTTGACAACACATTTGGTGTAGTCCCGATACCACTCCTTGTATTATACAGGATGACCTGACGAAATCGCACTAACTATTATCAGGAACTTATTAGGCAACCGATCTGACCCGTCAATTTTTTATTCAACAGAAACCTCTTTCTATCATATCCTCAACTGTTATACGTTATTCCCATCTCCTTCGATACTCTAACCAGTAAAATTTAAATTGGGAAAGTACCAAAGATGATACTGGAAAAAAGGTAATGGTATGAAAAGTTTTTATCCCGCTAGAGGCCACTAAAATCGAAAGTAGAGTAATAAATAGTCAAGTCGCTGAATTCTCCATAAAATTACCTTTTCAATGACGTGTCAGACTTGGTACTTTTCTTATTTATATTGTATTGGTTAAAGTATCGGTGGGGAAGGAGAAGACGTATGGCATTTTAGAATATGATAAAAAGATGTTCCCCTTTCGTTAAAAATTGATATCTAGTACGTTTTCGATGGGTACGATAATATTTTATTGACATTTTGACAGTCGTAGAAAAAGCTTCGTAAGTATTTTGTGCCTGGGCTTCGTTTTAATGTGAAACTTATAAAACTGTATTTTACAAAAGCAACAATTTTGTATTATAAAAAAAATCTTTTATTACACACGATATATTTATTCTATTGGACAGTACTATTAAAAAAATTATTTTGAATCAGTAAATTTTTTTAAGCTCTTTGAAATGTAGTTTTGTAAGACGTAAGCTAAACTAAGACTAGTTTTAAATATCAGTTAAGTTTCGATAAAATTAACCTTACATTTAAGATTTATTGCTCTAACCGAGTCCTAAGTGCGGTAAGTAAATATTACAAAACGCATTGTTTTTTAGAGGTATTAACGAGTAAATGAATTTGAAAAAGAGAAAAACTGCAGATACAAGGTTAATTTTTTTAGAAATATTCCTGTAAAAAAACTTTTTGTCGTAAAGATTTCCTGTGAAATTTTTAGATATATTTAAATGAATGAAGTATTTGTAATGAAGCATTTTTATGAGACAATACTTTGAATTTTCTTTTTGTAAATGTGTTTATAGGTAGTAAGTCCTTTAGGTAACGTTCGGTTTTCCAATTGTTAAAGAGAAGCAAAGAAAATTGTTAAAAAT